TAATGGCAATCACAATGATAACAATAGTAATGCTTTTGATAACTATCAAATATAAAGATGATAATAACAGTTCAAAAAACAGTATCATCAGTGGTGATATGGTTATAAAAAAATAGAATAATCTAGAATACGAAAGAAACTGTAGCAAAATATGAATATCAGTGTTCAGGTGATCCTTCTCTTTACATCTATGCTCCCTCAAGGATGTCGTGAACTTTGGCAGATTTTTGAGCAGAAGATATTATGATTTTAGACGATGGTATATTCTTCATGGTATTCTTTCAGTACAGGAACGTTGTGTGTGTGTGTGTGTGTGTGTGTGTGTGTGTGCGCCATATTAGCCATATCTCAAACAACCGACGCCAATTTCGCAATATACCAGGAAGTATATTTTTTTGTCTTTTTTCATTTCGTTTTTTTTTCTCTCTCTCTCTCTTCCTTCTTTTTTTCTTTTCTTAACCGCAAAGTACCTATCAGACTCCGAAGACGTGCTACTTATACAGATAAATCTTTCTATTCTCTTCCTTCACACTCTTTGATCTGCGGTTGGCGTGGCCTAAACTGGTCATGGTGAAAAATTGTTTTCTGTCGTGCACGAAAACGAAATTTAGAGTGGTCCGAGTGAAAAAAATATCAAAAGAAAATATGAATAAATCTACGAAACACGATTCTTACACAGGGTATAGAAAAGGACACAAAAGACAATAAAAAGAGAGAAAGAAGATAACAAATAAACACGAGAAAGAAGAAAAGAGGGGGGAAAATAATCGAAGCAAAATTAACAACACCCCTTACACTACAACCCACCAAAAAATATTAATAAATAAAAACAACGCGAGAAGACATCAGTCCCATAAAATAAGAATCAACAAGCATTTTGAGGTGTACTTTGGCACCTAAGAGTGGGAAGGTGCGTGTGGAGTGCAGTTGCGTGGCCAGAGTGCGTGATGGCCTCTGGGAAGCTCGGGCTGGTCCTCCGCCTGCTCCTACTCATTACCTGCTCCTTGACCCAAGCAGAGAGCGACGGGAACGCGGTAAGTCGAGGTCACATTAGAGCATGCGATTGAATCATCGTTCTTGTTATACATTACATTTGCTTCTATCAACAGCTGTAGTATAATTGTTGTCTTTATTAAGATCATTATTATGATAATTCTTTAAAATGATTTTATGGTATTTTATCAAATCATTTGTATTGTGTCTATTGCTGTTGTATTTTAAATATATATATTTTTTCAATCTGTTTTATATCACCAAGTAATGACATTAGTACTGTCCGTACTACCCTAGTAGTTATAGAAGTGGTTGCTGTAGTAGCAGTAGTAGTTGCAGTAATGATAACAGTAGTAATAGCAGCAACAGTAGTGTAGTACTGGTATCGAGAGTGGTAATACCAATGGTAATAGAGAGTTGAAAAGTATCACAGTGTTAATCGTTGCCATAAATGTTACTCTTCCCATTTCTGTGGCAAGTAACACTATCATATTCATAAATGTTATTACTACCATCAATACCATCGTCTACCATTCATAACTGGCAAAAATCGACTTCAACCCAGCCCCCTTTCCCCGGCAGAGCTGCGAGGACCTCGGCACGAAGAACAGCCACTTCGAGTGCACTGATGCGGGCGAGGTGCGGTGCGTGGACGGCTGGGAAGGCGAGGACTGCGACGTCCCCATATGTCGCGAGGGATGTGATCCTGTGCACGGCTACTGCACTCAGCCGGGAGAGTGTCGCTGCTCCTTAGGTGAGAGTCCCTTTGTAGGTGGATTTGGTGCTGTTAAGCCAGGCTGTTCGAGTGCCAGGTCTCTAGTCTTGAGAAAAGGGGAGGGTTGGCAGCAGGAAGGGCACTCGGAATCCTCTTGTGGGTGAACTTGGTGTTGTTAAGCCAAACTGCTCGGGTGCCAGGTCTCAGGTCCGGAAAATGGGGAGGGTTGGCAGCAGGAAGGGCGTCCGGCTGTAGGAAAAATGGTGAAATTACGCACAGTGTTAACCTTGTTTAGTAGAAATAACCCTAGGTGAATGAAGGAGATTTACGTAAGAGACATTTAGAATTCTGAAAGGCTGACTGATCATTTTAAATAATGTGTATCAGCTCTTCATATTTCATCTATTGATTTTATGTATATAGGTTACAATAGCTAACTGATGATGTATAGCTGCCTGACACAATTGACTGAATACTGAGAATAGTGATATTATTTGTAGTTTCAAGGTTTGTCGAATTCATAAGATCTTTCTTTATTTTCCTCCAAAATGATAACAATAATTATCCACGTCATTCGTGTCTCATTTTCCTTTTTTTTTTTTTTTTTTTTTTTTTTGCACGTCGCTCTTTTATTTTCTTTTAACCGATCTCTGGCTAGTCAATCTCTCTCTCTATCTATTTATCTATCTATCTCTTTCTCCCACCCTCCCTCTCCCTCTCTCTTCTTCCCTCCTCTCCCCCCCCCCCCCCCTCTCTCTTTCTTTTTCTGTCTCCTCTCTCTCTCTTTCCCCCTTTCCCCTCTCCTTCCTTTCCACTCCTTCCTATCTCTCTCTGCTCCCTTCCCTTTGGCTCTCTCTCTTTCCTCATAATTTTCTCTTTCCCTCTTACCATGTCTTCCAGAATCTCGCTCCGCAAGAGAGACAGCAGAGTAAAACAAAGGAAATGAGAGCAAATGCCGACCTTGGGCTCCTCAGGGGTGTTTTCTTGGACTCGAATGATTTTACGGTCACGTTTGCTTTTTTGTTTTTACTTCATAAATCTAGTTCGCACATTCGTGTATTTTCACCCTCTTTTCTTTTTCTGTCTTTCCGTCTTAACTGAAGTCTAGCGAGAATTTTTTTTACATGGCTTCAGTTCTCTGCTATCTGCGAAAGTGCAGATAGAAGGAAAACCATTGCACCGCCTCTGTCACAAGCGCATTCCCTCTTGCAGGATGGCGCGGTGAGAATTGCAGCGAGTGCACGCCCTTGCCAGGTTGTCAACACGGCTTTTGCAACTCAACTAGCTTCGAGTGCCTGTGCGAGGAAGGTTGGGACGGCCTATTCTGTTCTCAGCGTAAGTACAGGTTTATGTGACGTATGGACTCCAGTTAGTGGTGGCATTAATGCAAGGGAAGAACATACTTTTTTCTTTTTGATATCAATTTTGGATGTCATATCATTTCATTTCGTACGTTCTTTCCTCATAAAAATTTCCTTAATTTACCAAAGTATTTGACTTTATTTAACTTATTATTTTTTCTTTTTTCTTTCTTTCTCCCTTTACGCAAAGAAGGCTGCCACGCCACACGAGGCTACTGCGACCTTCCTGGGGAATGCAAGTGAGTTATTGGTGTTATTGTTATGTGCAGTTGTAATGTTCATGTTGTTCTTGTGTGATGTTTATGTTGTTTGTTTTTTGTGAGATCAAGTTTTCCCTGTGGTCCCTGTTTGTATGGTGTCCTGTTTTGTATGGTGTCCTTGTTTGTGTGTAGTCCTAAATTCCTTGATACCCCCCCTTTCTCCCCATCCTTCCCGCGTCCGTTTCTCCATCCGCCACACCCTTCCCATTTTCCCTCTCCCACTCCCATTTCTCCCCCTACCCCCACCCCTTCTAACCCCAACCCTATTTCCCTCTCCCTCCCCCACCCCCCTTTCCCTTTCTCCCTCTCCCCCACCCCCTTTCTCCCTCCCTAACCCCCTTTCCCTCCCCCACCCCCCTTTCTCCCTCTCCCACCCCCTTTCCCTCCCCCCACCCCCTTCTCCCTCCCTCACCCCCACCTCCCTCACCCCCCTCCCTCCCTCACCCCCATTCTCCCTCCCTCCTTCCTCCCTCCCCCCCCATCTCTCTCCGCCCCGACCGACCCTCCCTCTGCCGGCAGATGTCGCATCGGCTGGGGCGGCGACACCTGCCAGGACTGCAAGCCGCTGCCCGGCTGCATCAACGGCCACTGCACGAAGCCCTTGGAGTGCCGCTGCGACCCGGGCTGGACGGGCCTCTTCTGCCAAACGCGTATGTCGAGAGAGTGCATTTGTATTATTTATTATTTATTTTAGATTAGTTTTTAGTATCATTTTATTTATTTGTGCTTATTTGAGGGGAGGGGGTTATAAAGGAGGGGATTATCCGCATATTTAATGATTCATATTATTACGTAAAATATATATACAGATATATTTCTTTTTTTTAATTCATATTATGGAAACATAATATCGATACATGTATGGTGTTTAGTGTTTTTATTAGTACAGGAAATGTATTTAGATATGGTATTGATTTAGTATTAAAACATTTAATGAAACGTAGAATTTCATCTTTCATTATTACCATTCTCTATGTCCTTTCATGCAACCATTTTTCTTTGTTCATTTAAACTTGTAATACGTCGAGGCTTTATCCATGAGAAGAAATACCAGCAAAATGTTTATATTTCGATTTTTTTACACGTTTCAGCTGTCTGCGCCCCCAACTGCAGCAAAGAGCACGGTGCTTGTGTGGAACCTGGAGAATGCAGGTGAGAAATACAAATAGATAGAGAGAGAGAGACATACGAACAAATATACTGAACACAAACACAAATGCGTACGCAAAAAGGAAAATAAGATAAGAAAAAACACATTTCGAACTCTCTAAACGAACAATAAAACTGAAATGGATAGATCAAACAAAACCATACATACAATACAGAGAGAGAGGGTCCTTTCTCTCTCTCTCTTAAAAAAATAAATAAATAAAATAAATAAATAAAAAATCAATAAAAAAAACACGAATTTCACCTCTCAAATACGACCCGCCTCCCGTTGACGAAACAGCATAACAGCCCTTCCCTTCTCGCTCCTGGCGCAGGTGTGACGTCGGCTGGTGGGGCGAGAACTGCGACACCTGTTTCCCTTACCCCGGGTGTAAACAAGGCTATTGCACGCAGCCCTGGGAGTGCCTGTGCAACCCTGGGTGGGTGGGCATGCTCTGCGACCAACGTAAGTGTGTGGTCGCCTACACTCTCTTCTGATTAACTGCTGATTATTGCAGTCAT